CCTTTTCCCTCTAGGCCACCCATACTCCACATATGTGCCATACTAGAATTCTGTTGGGACCTTTTCATTCCATTTTAATTCTCACACTGCCTCTCTGGCTTTAAAGTAAAAATCTTTAATGTTTCTGTTTCCCCAGACAGGCTCTTGATATGTAGCCCTGAAACCTGCTATGGAGAGCTAGGCTGGTTTCAAACTTGTGGCCAACACCCTACCACTCTACCCACCAGCAAAATTTCTTATTGTCTGTATTAACAAGCCTTTAAATACATCACAATGTTCTATCGTAGTTGAAGTCAGCAACTAAAAGGCATTTTCCTTCTCTTTTCCACACCATGGATGGAACAGATCAGACTGTACTATACTAATGCTCTATACTAAATTCTGTACTATTGATTACTCTAAGTTTGTTATCAATAGTCCTTACATTGTAAAACTGGCCCCACCTTATTGTATACCTGAAGCCAATTAAGCATGTTAGATATAGAAGAACTAAAAAAAAAATAGGGCACACCCTTAGCATATCTTATTTGACTTGGCAACTTGGTTAAAATATGTGGAATAAAATGCTCAGCTTACTACCAAGTCCTATACAGAAGAACCCAAATGGGTGGTATCCTTATTCCAACAAATGATCCTACCTCATCACTTCAGGGGGCATCATCTTTACTTAAGCTAGCTATTTACCTGCTAGAAAGTTATTATTCCTGTCATAAGATAAGAATCTCAAAGACATCAGCCGGGCTGTTGTGGCACATGCCTTTAATAGCCCTCAGGAAGCAGAGGCAGGTGGATTTCTGGGTTTGGGGACAATTTCATCTACAGATTGAGTTCCAGGACAGCCAACACTACAGAGAGACCCTGTCTCAAAAAACCAAACCAAACAAACAAACCAAAAACATAACAAAAAACCCATTTGTTCTTGAGAAGGACCTCTCAGGGTTTGGTTCCCAGAATCCATAGAGTGGTTCACAACTATCCATTTACTGCAGTTACAGGGATCTGATTTCCTCTTCTGACATCTGTGGACACCAGGCACACATGTGGCACACATACATATAGGCAGAACACTCATACACATAAGATAAAACTTAAAGCTGGGCGGTGGTGGCACACACCTTTAATCCCAGCATTTGGGAGTCAGAGTCAGGTGGATTTCTGAGTTCAAGGCCAGCCTGGTCTACAGAGTGAGTTCCAGAACAGCCAGGGCTACACAGAGAAACCCTGTCTCAAAAAAACCAAAACAAACAAACAAACAAGACCAAAAAAAAAATCAAAGACATCAGTCAGCTTGAGAAGAATAAGGTACAAGCATGACTAACCCTTTTATTTTTAACAATTAGTGCAAAACATGGGCAAATGTATGAGATTTACAAGATCCCCCTCCCTCTCTAGAACCAACTGGTTATTTTTAGATATTCCTTTCATGTTTCTTAATAAGATGTTCCTAATTTACCATTTGGCACTTTTAAAAGTTACCTTCCAATTTCGTTCTTTTATGGTCTCTCGGCTGGCTGTCCTAAAACTATCTAGACCAGGCTAGCCTCAAACTCAGTAAGATCCACCTGCTCTTGCTTCTCCAGTTCTGGGATCCAGGTCATGCACAAACATACCCAGTTTATATCCCAATTTCTAATATGTAAAATGAAGAGTATTGTTCTTATACACACTACCCAATTCAAACTTCATCAATTAAATGAAAAATACTGCTTCCATGATCAATAGTATGCACTGCCATGTATTCAATGTGTTATGTTTTTTTATACTTACATTTCAAATGCCAATCAAGGTAGAGACCTTAGTAGGAACTGATTAAATCATGAGGGCAAAGCCTTCACAAATGAAATTAGAACTGCCTTTTATAAAGAAACCAGAGATTGCTGGGCAGTGGTGGCGAATGACATTAATACCAGCACGCAGGAGGCAGATCTCTGTTGAGTTCAAGGCCAGCCTGGTGTACAAATTGAGTTCCAGGATAGTCAAGGTTACATAGAGAAGCTCTGTATCAGAAAAAAAACAAAAACAAACAAGAGGTCTGTCAGCCAAGCTGAAATCAATATAATAGAAGCTAGCTAAGCTAGCTAGCTATCTGCTGGTTTTGTTAGCTTCTGACTTCTCAGTTTTAAAAACTATAAATATATTTCTATTGTGTGTATGTACCATTCTATTTATGGTACTTTGCTGTATTACCTCAAACTAAGACAAACCACTATTCCACCTGTCATTCTATATAGCCTAAACTAGCCTGGAAACTCCATCATATACTGTGTGATTTTATCCAGAGTGACCAAAATACACACAATCATTCTCTTTCAGCATCATAAATGCCAAGATTATAGGTATACACAGTATATTTATCTTTCTTTCTTTGTTTCTTTCTTCCTTCCTTTTTTTTTTTTTTTTGTTTTTTCGAGACAGGGTTTCTCTGTGTATCCCTGGCTGTCCTGGAACTCACTCTGTAGACCAGGCTGGCCTGGAACTCAGAAATCCACCTGCCTCTGCCTCCCAAGTGCTGGGATTAAAGGTGTGTGCCACCACCGCCCGGCCTATATTTATATTTCTTGTAAAGTTTTTCTTCTCTAATTAAAGAAAATCTGGGCCTATATTTATATTTCTTGTAAAGTTTTTCTTCTCTAATTAAAGAAAATCTGGGCCTATATTTATATTTCTTGTAAAGTTTTTCTTCTCTAATTAAAGAAAATCTGGGCCTATATTTATATTTCTTGTAAAGTTTTTCTTCTCTAATTAAAGAAAATCTGGGCCTATATTTATATTTCTTGTAAAGTTTTTCTTCTCTAATTAAAGA